AGTTTCTTTTTACCATTCCTAAGGAATACAATTTCTCATCTTTTGCGCATTCTCTGGGATTTTATGATTATGATAATGGCTAGGAAGAAAGGATATGGCATATCTGACAATAACAATATGGAGAATATCTCTGTGATTTGTCTCTGTAAATTAACAGGTAGAACATTACAGGATTTAGACACAGGAGATGGCCTTATGATTTGATCTCTTTTTCCCACCATCAATTATTTCTTTGTGTCCTTGAACATATCACTTTATTCTTTAGGCAGTTAAGAACCTTTCCATCATAATGGTTTCTATTGAACTAAAATATGATGCAAATTCTCTGGCACAACAATATTTATTCTTTGAGTTGAAATGTGCTCCTGAAAGGTTAGATCACATTACTCGGCCACACTCTTTTAAAGGCACTAGGAATCATGTCGAAGGGAGCTATCATGGAGGCAAACTGTTTTTTTCTCTCCAGAGACCTAAGCTTCTCCTCCAAAGCCTTGTACTGTGCCCTCAACACACACTTCACCTTTCATACTCGAGGACAGCTGTCTTGTGCATCTTTCAGTACGACGTGGTAGAGTTTGCCTCTTGGGATAGATGTTGCTGTTGATGTGTGTTATCCAGTCTTTTTTGGTGCACAGCGACCCCATGTGGCAGTGTAGGAGAGCTATCTCACAGGGTTTTCTAGGCTGTAATCCTCACAGGAGCAGAACACCAATTATTTTTCCGACAGAGCTGATAGGTAGGGATATTCAGATACCTAGCCTTTCAGTGCACAGCCATAGGTTTCTATTATACTACCAGGGCTCTATATGCTCTAGTCAAAAAATACTATTTATAGACAACTGTTAGAGCCCTGGTATAGTGGCACAGTGGTAAATCACTAGACTGCTAGCCAAAAGTTTAACAACTTGAACCACCCATCACTCCACAGAAGAAAAATGTGGCCATCAGCTGCTGTAATGATTAATAGCCTTGGACACTATGGGGCAGTTCTACTCTGTCCTAAATCAGAATCAGCTCAATGGCAGTGGGCTTGGTTTTGTTTGGTCTAGCTAAGGGTTAGCTCCTCCACATTCTTACAGTAGCCACTCAGATATTTAAGTCAACTGAATTTGTAGTTACCATTTTTGGATTTATTTATTTGTTAAGGACATCATTTGTACATTGCACTTTTATGAGCAAAGATTAGTCCACAGATTGTGCTTGCCAGCAAAGAGCCTACAAAGATGAGTACATGATGATCTCTGCCTACTGGGAGGAAAGATAGAACCAAGAGTAACAGCTATTGTCCATCCACTAAATAGTTATGGTTGATCACCTACTATTGTCCTAGTACCAGAATATGAAGTCATTGGCCTTGCCTTAAAAGAGCACACTGCAGAGTGCAGGAGACAAACTACAGTAAACCGCTCCCGCAGTGTGATGAATACTTCAGTGGGGCCTGCATAAGTTGCCATGCCTGCCCGAAGGGGGATGAGGAGAGAAGGTCCTACAGAAAGGCTTGTATTTGAGATCTTCGAGTCTATGGTGCAAAAGCAGTGAGGGTCCTTTAAACAAATAAATTGTAAATAGCTAAAGCTGCTAACAGGGAAAATTCTTAAGTCTCAATTTGGCTGGAAAGGAACTGAATGATAAATGATGAGACAAAAATTTAACAGTAACAATAATAACTGGTTAAGCAGGAAGTCTTTACATTTGGGGTGAGACTATGAAACGGGCAAAGACGATTGGTTGGGAACTTTGGAAAATTCTTTATCGTTGATGTGTTGTGGCCAAGAGACACTCACTGACAGGGTGGATATGTTAACTCTGTAGTCATCATCTAGTTTTTTTCACTGACCATATATGTGTGTATAAGCTTGGCAATGAATAAGGAAGACCTGAGAAAAATTGATGCATTTGAACTATGGTGTTGGTGAAGAATACCGCATGTACCCTGTACTTAGAAAACAAAACACATCTCACTTAAAGTACAGCCTGAATGCTCGTAAGAAGAAAATATGGTGAGATTGTCTGTAATGTCCTTTAGAAAAGTTAATAGGAGGGACACGTTTCTGGAAAAGGACATTATGTGTGACAAAATAGGGTCAGTACAAAAAAGATGAAAAGCCTCCAGGAGATGGATTGACGTAGTGACTGCAATCACGAGACCAAACATAACAACTGTGGAGATGGAAAGAGGCAGGGTTTCACCCTGTTGCACTTGGGTAGTTATCGGGTTGGAACTGACTGAATGGCACCTAACAACAATTCTTCTGAGAACTTGGACTTTATCCACGAAATCTAGCATACATTTCGTGTTTCCTGGAAAAGCAGCCCTGAAAAATCCATGAGGTTGCATTGAGGTTAGTCAAATGTATAAACCCCCCTCATAGAGAAATCTGCACACAGATAAGGTATCTTTTGAGAGCAAGTAGTTCTGTGGGTGGGGAGTGAGGTGTGTCCGAAGCTACCTAGAGTGTGTTGATGTTGGAAAGAGAGATGGAAGCCAGATGCCTTGGTCAGTTTGCTTAAGTCTTAATTTTCTATCCTGTTTCCTAGAATATGAAAACCTCCTGAGCGATTCCAAGCAGAATTAGAGCATGCTCAGAATAATGTTTTAGATAATGGCTCTGCCAGTTATGTAGAGGGAACCAGAGACAAGGTGATTCTGTTTAACACCATAAACATGGGTAATGTGTGATTATTAAAGATTATGTAACTTCAAATTATCAATTACTATCTATAGTATCACCTATATGCTAAGGCACTGCCTAAAGGACACAAAAATCCCGCTTGGGAAATGTACATCCAGAGTTCTACTTAGAGGCAAGGATGGCTTGACTTCATCATACGTGTTTGGGATATGTTGTCAGGAGAGATCAGTCCCTAGAGAAGGATATCATATTTGGAAATCAAAAAATAGGGAGACCCTCAAGATGAATGGACACAGTGGCTGCACAGTTGGCTCAAGCATAAGAATAATTATGAGGATGGCGCAGGACCAGGCAGTGTTTCGTGTACGTGGGGTCACTGTAGGTCAGAACTGACTGTTAAGGTTGCTTTTAAGTGGTCAAGAGCACGATGATAAAGTACAAGGATCTGCTGTGTATAGAATGATAGGTCAGAAGATAACATGTCACACTTACATAGTTGAATGTCTATGGCGTACGTCTTGAAAAACAAAGCATATGACACAATTCAGACCCACGGTGATGCTATGGGACAGTGTGGAACTGCCCCCGGCGTTTCCAAGGCTATACGTCTTAACAGAAACAGATGCTTCATCTTTCTCAACAAACCTATTGTACAATTTAATTTAATAAATGTCTATCGAATGTCTAAGCTCTTCGTTGTTGCCTTGTGGCATTGGGTTGATTCCAACCATGTGTCTCTTACGAAGTAGAACTGCTCTGTGGCGTTTATTGGCAGTGGTTTTTATAGAAGCAGACCGTCAAACCTTTCCTTCCGAGGTGCCGCGACACCGGTTTGGCCACCAACTTCCTGCCTTATCAGCACAAAACCTTTCTACCTCCCAGGGCATGATGAAAAGCTAGGAATAACAGATAAAGAATCACTATATATGCTGAAAGGGGTAGGATAGCTAGAGAAAGAAGATAGCATTTGATGTGAATTTAGAAGGTGAGCAGGGGTTTTCTGGAGAGAAGGGGAATTTGTAGCCATAATTAAAAGAACAATAAGTGATGATCCATGTGCTGGGAGGAAAGCATCTTGTGTGAGCCCTACACGTTCAGCTTAGAAAGCCGTGAGCCACAATCTCTCTGCACTTGAGACTGAAAATCACTTGGAGAAAAGAAATACTACCATATGGAGCAAACTGGCCTAGTTGGCAAAGCCCTCCAGTCACTCCGGGATCCAGAAGGTGAACTCCAAGGGCAAGGCAGTGGTCAGGCAGCCCGTGTACATGGTGAAGTGTTGCCACACATTTTTAAAAGCCGGGGCAGATCGACTCAATGAAAATCGTGACCTGTGGCAAGATAAAATATACTCATTCCCAGTTTGGGTTTTCTCATCAACTGTGTAAGATTGTAACAAGGATTTGCACTCAGTGCCATGGAGTCTGAATCGTAGTGACTCTATCAAACAGAATAAAACGTCTCCCTATAGTTTCTGAGACTGTAAATCGTCATAGGAGTAGAAAATCTCATATTTCTTCAGAGCAGTGGCTAGCAGTTTGGAACTGCTGACCTTGCAGCTGGCAGCCCAATGCATAACCCACTATGCCATGAGGGCTCCTGTATCTAGTAAACCCCAAAAGCAAACCAGTGGTGGTCCATCCAATTCTAACTTATAGCGACTGCGTATGCATCAGAGCAGAGATGTGCTCCATGGGGAATTTTAATGACTGCTTTTTCACCAGGTGATTGCTAGAACTTTGTTCTAAGATGCCTCAAACCTCCAACCTTTTAGATGGCAGGTGAACCCCTTGAACACATTCACCATGTACATCACTCAAACTCCAGACTCACAACAAAGATGATCTATCCATTATTTCTTTTTCTTCAGAAACCAGGTTAAAAGTTCATTTCTCAGTTGAGTCAGCAAAACGTATTCATAATGACTGGAACCCCCTTGTCTTATACTGCTCCTCAGGAGACATTCAATCAATATGTGCTGAATCCATTCATACATGAATTGAAAAGAATCATAGGTCAATTCAAATTAATTCAACCTAAAGGAAGGTTTCACTGGGCTTTTCCATGAGAAATTCTTGACAGCCCCTGCTCACTACCACCATGATTGCAGCCACCCCGGTGCAGGTGCACGGTTGGGGTCGAGTATGTCCTACTACTCACCTTGGTGCATGCTTAAAACCCACCAGCTACTCTGCAGGAGAAAGATAAGGCTATACGATCCTGTAAAGATTGTACAGTCTCCCACTTTCCACCCACCCCCTCCTCCCCGGAAGCCTCTCTGAGCTTCAGGCTCCTGCTGCGAAGCTAGTGCCTCTCCTGCCTCCCTCTGGCCGCCATCATGATCATCTACCCAGGACCTCATCAGCCATGATGAGAGGTTCTCCGACATCTACAAAATCCAGGAGACCGCAGACGGGCTGTGTCTGCAAGTGGAGGGGGGAGAAGGGCAGTAGGGTCGAAGGTAACATTGGGGGGAACGCCTCAGCTGAAGGCCCCAAGGGCGATGGAACAGCAAGCACAGTGATCGCTGGTGTCAATATTGTCATGAACCCTCACTTACAGGAAACCAGCCTGACCGAGGAAGCCTACAAGGGGGACATCAAAGACTACATGAAATCAAGCAAAGGCAAACTTGCAGAGCAGAAACCAGAAAGAGGAAAGCCTTTTCTGGCAAGGGCTGCAGCACAAATCAAGCATATCCTTGTGGATTTCAAAAACGACCAGCTCTTTCTTGGTGAAAACATGAATCCAGATGGCATGCTTGCTCTTCTGGACTGCCAGGAGGATGCTATGACTCCACATACGATCTTCTTAGAGCTGGAGAAATGTTAACACAGCGGGCCACTCACGGGTCCATCGTCCGTCAGCCTAACCTGCTGCTGTGCGTCCACACGACCCAGGACTCAAACCGACCTGGATTTATTTGGAGCTGAGGCTTTTTAAAAATTAAAACGTCAGGTAGGTTGCCTAAAAATTAAATGCATTTAAATTAATAATAAAATAAGATTTTACAGTCTCAGAAACCCTGTATAGACTCACTCTACATTGGAATTGATTCTATGGGTGTGACTCACTCTGCATTGGAATTGATTCTATGGGTGTGACTCACTCTGCATTGAAATTGATTCTATGGGTGTGGGAGCCTCAAAACTAAGCATGATGAGGGACTTCAATGCCATGCTCTGATCTTGGGGATGAGATAAATTCTGCTCAACCCTAGACGAGGGGGCAGGATTGAGTAATCTCCTTCTTGCCTCAGTATCCATAGTCAATAGTAACAATCTTGTCTCTCACAGAGACCTGGGTGTGTTAGGGTTCTCTAGAGAAACAAAACCAGAATGCTAATAATTATATATATATATTTATATATATATAAAACATAAGAAATAAACAGTTAATTAATCTATAAAGCAGTATAATAATCTATAAAGCAGTATAAATGGCTCAGTGCAACTTGCTTTCATGAGACAGTTGTGAGACACAGGCAGTCCTTCAAGTCTTGAGGGCTGCCGGGTCGTACTCTGCAGAACAATTCAGGCTATCCAGCCACAGGCAGCAAACAGCAAGGCAGGTCACCAACAGTCAGCCAGATGACAGGGTCCTACAGCCCCCAGCTCAAGAGATGTAAATTCCAATAGTGTGACGAAGCAGGTCTTGAAGGAACCTCAAATTACAGCATCACAGTCCACGGGTTTGGTGTAGCTTGCAAGTTGAGGCACAGAACAAGCAAGGCAGTCACACACAGGTCCCATCATCAAAAACCAAGAGACAAGAGGACAGGTGAGGCTCACCGAGCCATATCTCTCCGCCCTTCAATTCATCCCACATGTGTTTATCGGCCAGCTTGGCACAATCAACTAACTACCTCACTGGGCAAAAGCCTTTGTGATTGCTAGTTGGTAACACCATAGAGTTGATTCCAACACCTTTTCATTTGAAGACTCAGTGCTCACAATTTAGAGAGGCTCGTTAGAGATCGAGTCAGAAATGACTCATGACTGTCATAAATGTCACATAAATCAAACACGGAAGGTCATTCGGGATGTGTGTACTCAGAAAAAAGCAGCGGAGGAGAGGAGACACACGCTAGCTCCAAAGGCTAGCAGGGTACTGAAGGGAGAGGAGACCCATATGTTTGTGCCAGACTTTCCATAGGAAGAACTGTCTTTGGAAGGTGAGTTTGAAGTCTTCCTACAGATTGGCCTGGCTAAAGTCAGGGCTGATGATGGACAGTCATGAGAAGGGGATGTGGAGAGATGGAGGGTTAGTGAAAGAAAACAAGCATAAAAGTAAGATAAAAGGGAGCTTGGTGTGTAATAGAGAGCACGGCATGCGAGGAGAGAAGAGGCTCTTTGAGCTTCGTGGATCCAGGAAGGATGGAGGCGCACTGTAAACCACTAACTCTGGTGAAGAGGACACGGTGTTGTTCAAGGATAGCTTAAATAAGGCAGAGAATGCCAAAGGTGGATTTCAGAGGCTTTAGAAATATGAACCGAACGAGGGAAATTGAGTATTTCAGCTTCAAGAGAATAAAAAGGAAGCACTCCATCTATATTTAACAAAAATATCCGCTCCCCCACTGGCCCGCCTTGCTCCCATACCCCCCCCCTCCTCAGAAGGAGGCAAAGAAAATGTTGAGGAGAAAAGAGTAGAAATGGTGGAGAAAGGGAGTAATTGAGAAAGGAAAATGTCTCCAACGCTGGAAAGATATTGGAGCCAGAGTTGTTGTTGTTGCTGATGGTGGTGGTGTGGAGCACTGAGTAAATGCTGGGGACTGTTGTTTTTCTTAGGTGCCAATAAGTGAGTTCCAACTCATAAAGACTGTGCACAGCAGAAGGAAGCACTGCCCAGTCCTCGCCCTTATTGCTGTGTTTGAGCCCATTGATGCAGCTACTGTGGCCATCCATCTCATTGAGCTCTTCCTCTTTTTTGCTGCCCCTCTGCTTTACCAAGCATGACGTCCTTCTCTGGGCACTGGACTCCCTGCTATGTCCAAAGCATACCAGAGAGTCTCCGGAGCCTCACTTCCCAAACAGTAAGGCTGTATTTCTTTCAACATAGATTTGTTTGTTCTGTTGTCGGTCCTGGATACTTTTAAAATGTTCACATGATTCAAATGGATTGATTATGCATCAGTCTTCCTTATTCTGTGCCCAACTTTCATGTGCTTAGGGGGCAATTGAAAATACCCTGGCTTGGATCGGGAGGCCTTAGTCCTCAACGTAGCATAGAGTAAATACTGAGGAATAGCAAGAGGTAATTCACATAAGCTCAATTTTCCCAGCCGTCAAACCATTCTGCCATGATGTATACGTCAGTTTGTAGCAGTTTGGTGGCTTGTGTATTGCTATGAAGCTGCAAACTATGTCACTGATGCTTCCATCACCAACAGAGGGGCCCACTGTAGAGAGGTTTCAGTGGAGCTTCCAGACTAAGATAGACTAGGAAGATGAGACTAATGAGCTGCTTCCTAAAATTAGCCCAGAAAAGTCTTACAGATAACAAGAGAACATGACCAGATGGAAGGTAAGCCTTCTGATCTATGTGAACACAAATAGACCAGTAACTGTGTTTGGTTACAAATAAAGTCAGCATGAGTCAGTGTTGACTCAGCAACAACTAGTGACAACAAACCGTTTCAAATAGCCAGGTAACTGTAATAGTCTTTGAATGAATAATGTTTTGCTTATTTCTACCAACATAAAAACTCCGAGTCCAAGAGAAGTGACTTTAGTTTCTGCTTGGGCAAAACTGCTTTGTCTTTAAACACAGTCTGCTCCTATGTGGCAGGAGTGAACACCCTTCACATATTTTCCTGGTGGGAGGAAGCCACCCACAGCACAAGTCAGCGCAGACTGCTTGTTCCTCCCAGCCGAGTGTTGAAAGTACAGACTATTCCCCAGGATCTGCCTCTACTTCACTGCATCATTTGGAAACCGTTAGACATATTTGTGAGACTTGGATAAGGAAGGAACTCAGAAGGGCATTCCTCTCTTGGCTTTACCTCTTTAGTGTTTGAGCCTCGGGGTGGTCTTCCAACCCTTTAAGTAACTGGAAAAATGTCTCCTGTTTTCACAGTTTCAATGACTATTGCTTTAAACAATTTTATAATGTGGGATCCATTGGCCATCTACTCAACAGTCTATGTAGAGACTAGAAATAGAATATGCAAATTATAGATTTATTTTGTCTTATCCAAGGCTCTCAATTTATGAAGGAGAAAATTAAATGCCAGAGGAGCCTATGACTGATGTCATACAGCCAGGTGATAACTATCTATTATGTATCTCTCAATAAGCCACATTTGTGTTTCCTTGCTGAGGGGTTGACATCTTTCACTTACTTGTTAGATGTGAGGAGGCACAAGAGAAGATATTTTCCCTGGGGTTTGGTTTCGAAATATTAGAAGATGTGGAAATCAAGTGCTTCCAAAAACCCATTGCCAATGAGTTGATTCTGACGAGTGGACGCCTCATAGGGTTCTGAGACCATCTTTATCAACACAGAGCGAATGGTTGTTTTGAACCATCAGCCTTGTAGTTGGAAGCCAATGCTAATTCCCCAGTGCAATTAGAGCTCTTAAGTCATACAGGTTTGCTTCCAAAGAGAAGACTCTGTGTGTGTGATTTTTCTATTTTGTAATCTACAATGTATTATTCCCTGATACCCGGCAAGTGTGTAGTTGCTGCATAGTCTGACAACACGTTTAGCTGCTGAACACCAGGCTTAATGATTCCACAACAAAATTTGCGTTGCTATCCCTCAAAGCCTTGTTGGTATGCATTTAAAAAGGAACCCATTCAACAAACTCATATTGAGTACTTTTTCTACGCAATTATGATCTAAGAGCTAAAATTTCTGGTTTGAAGGAACTACCAACATGATTAGAAAGAAATGTAAACACAGACTTATAAAACAATATGAAAATAGAGTTGTGTATGATCTACAAGAATACATAGAAATAATTCAAAAGTGCTACCCTTGACCACAGAACTCATTCAGAAGTCATGGTCAAGAGTAGAGCTACCACCGGTAACTGCTACCATGGAATTGTGTCCACAATAGAGGGCATGTGCAGTGTCTGATATGAGCCCTCTAACTAATCTCTGGTAGGTTTGTGTTTTACAAGTTGTCAAGGTCACAGAACAACTTCATTCTCTTGATTCCAAAATCATACCAATTCATCAATTATCCAAACTGAGTGATCTCAGAGGAACCCCAGAGTGACTCTCAAGATGATACGGGTTTTCCATTATGTGTTAGTCTGGGTAGACTAGAGACACAAATTCATAGACACGTGTATAAGAAAAAGATTTATATACAAGAGCAGTTCAATATTGAGAAAATGTCCCAGCTCAGTTCAGATCAAGTCCTTAAATCCAATATTAGCCCATACATAAGATACCAATCTATAAAGTCCTCTGCAGACTCACAAAACACATGCAATGATGCCAAATGCAAGAGGTTTACAGGCCAGTGGGTTGGAAGTGCTGTGCACCCAGTGGTGTTGTAAGCATCTCAGCGCTGGCAGGGGTCTCTACATGGCTTCTCCGGCTCCAGAGGTCTGGTTGCATTAAGGTAGTTCCATGTGGCTTCTCCAGCTCTAAGGGCATAGCACCATGTTTCTCATCAGTAGAACGTCTCTCAGGGAGTAAGTCTTGAATCTTATCAGTAGAGAGTCTCCAAGGGAGTGAGCCGAGAAAGAGTAGTGTCTTCTGCCTCCAAGGAGGAAATTCCCAGAATTCTCAGGAGAAGGCCATGCCCACAAAGAGGTCTCATTGGCTATGACCCGATTGACAGACTAGACTCCACCCCTTCACTCTTAATCCTCTCAAGTCCCAAACTGACACCAGACTATGTAACTGCCACACATAAACTAAGGTCCTGAAGGGTATGGATTGTCTCAGCTGCTGCAGCAATTGGGAGGAGGGTCCAAGATAGGAAAGTGTTTCCTTCTGTTGAACCTATGGGCTGGAACCAACTCCAAAGCACCGAACTACCACAAGAGCGCTATGTACATCATCTAGGACAGGGGGTCTCACCCTTCCTCATGCCGCGATCCTTTAATACAGTTCCTCATGTTGTGGTGACCCCGGCCACAAAATTATTTTCATTGCTACTTCATAACTGTAATGTTGCTACTCTTATGAATCATCATATAAATATCTGATATGCAGGATGTATTTTCATGGTTACAAATTGAATATAATGAAAGCATATTGATTCATCACAAAAACAATATGTAATTATATATTGTGAAATATTTATTTCTCATGACAAATAAATGAAATTTTGTCTTGAAGCATGGTGTAGCATGGGTAACAGTCTTCACGCCGGGTCCTCGTATGTGGGCGTAGCGGTGTGTGGGCGGACCCGCCGGGGGAACAATAGAGGAGCGGTGTCTCGGGTCCTAAGACCATTGGAAATATGTGTCTTCCGATGGTCTTGGGCGACCTCTGTGAAAGAGTCGTCACGACCCACAGGTTGAGAACTGCTGGTCTATGGGAATTAGAATTTTTTTTTTTTAATGATTACATTGATAGGTGATGCTTCTATTTCCACTTGCCAGGATACAGACAAAGGGCAACATGGAGAAGAGAAGAAATAAGAATGAAAACGATTCATAGTTTGTCTCAATTATTGTATGAACATCTGCCCTAAATATGCCCCCAAAGCCTATGTCATCATTATTTCACACTCCGTATAGAGATGGAGAAGCTGATTATCAGTAAAAAAGGAGCATTCATGGTTCGATTTGCTCGAGTTAGAGCCAGTATGATAAGAAATTGTTACAAATCTTATTTTTTTCTAATTGTGATGATTTGAAAACAATTGATAGCATTTTGGTACTTTTTAAAATGCCATATATATAATTTATTTAAATTATATATATAATATATATGTATGTATGTATATAATTTTTTTCTTATGTTGGGTTCTTAGGACACATAGTGTTGCATTGTCTTTTTTTATTCCATAGATGACTAAAGCATGTCCTCACATTGATGAGGGTACACAGGATTAATGGCACCATAGTCATGAGAACTGAGGGGATTTGAAGAGCAAGAAAGTGCAGAGAATCACAGGCTGTGTTGTCCTGGATTAGGATTCCATTTCGCATCAAGTCCAAGTTGACAGGAATTTGGTTCTGAAATGGTCCTGAGAACAACAATGATAATTTATGGCGTCAGCAGAGGTCATTTGCAATGTTTATCTTGACAGTTTGCCCTGTGGGGCCTTTAGCTCTGCCACCAGATGAGTGTCCCTTCCATATGGTAGCTTCCAGGGATTGGGAATTGGGGTAAAGTGATTGTCTACTTAGTGAAGAGCCTTCGAGCATGGGGGGATCAGCTTTCCTGAAGCAGCCATCCTCTAACTCAAAGGGAACAAAAGACTTCTTCACCAATCACTTCCTGGTCCCTGCCTTTGGAAAGGGTTCCCACTGTCTTTGGCAGGTTTCTTTCTGCTTGCAGCCAAGTACACTTCCACGAGTACACGGTTCAAAACTGTGGCTGAGGTCAAACCTGCCATTGCGGAATGAGAATAAAGTAGCACTTTCATTGAAAAAGTTGATGATTTTAAAAAAAAAGTTCTATTAAGAAAAAAAAAGATGCAGTCAGGCAATTCTAATGGATGGTGACCCCATAGGTGTCAGAGTAGATCTATGTGCCAAAATATTTTCATATGGCTGTTTTGTTTTGTTTCAGAAGTAGATAGGCCCTTCTCTGAGGCACTTCTAGATGGATCAAATCTTCAATCTTGCATTAGAGGTCAAGTGTGGTAGCCATTGGCACCACCCAGGG